CCCCCCCGCCCTGCCACGAGACAGGCTGCAACCGCAGCTTCCACCTTCCCTGTGCCGTGGAGGGTGGATGCATCACCCAGTTCTTCGGGTGCTACAGGTAAGGGCAGCTGGGCCTCACCGAGGAGGCTCCTCAGCTTCGCTCCTCTTCCTGCCAGCAACAGCCAAACAAGGAAGGAACACACAGTGACAATTCCTATTGTCACAGGCAGAGCCAGAGCTGGGCAAGGCCTGGGTCTCCTTCACAGCTCCTCTCCCCTCCTCACCGCCACTGGGGAAGGCCCCAGCGCTTCCCACCTCACCCATCCCTTTCCTCTTCCCCTCAGGTCCTTCTGCTGGGAGCACCGCCCAGAGCAGGCAGTGGAGGCAGCACTGGAGGACAACACCACCTGCCTCATCTGCCTGGAGCTGCTGGTGGGGGACAGAAGGTCCTACGGCACCCTGGTGTGCCCAGCGTGCAAGCACGCCTGGTTCCACAGGGTCTGCATCCAGGTAGGAGCCGTTCCCTCGCCCTCGGGGCATGGCGGGCACTCAGCAGCACCAGAGCCTCACTCTTGCTCCTTCTGTTTCTCCGGCAGGGACAGGCTATGCGCGCTGGCATTTTTTTCCGGTGCCCCCTCTGCAGAGATGGGCATCTCTTCCTCGCTGAGATGCTCACCATGGGGATCCGAGTCCCCTTGAGGTTGGTGTCCTGCTGCCCGGCTCACAAGACAGGAGGGTGCAAGCGCTGTGCCTTGCCAGAGGTTGCCCCAGCAGTCCTGGCCCTCCGCTGCCCCATGAGTCTGGGATTCAGCTTCACGGAGGAGTTGGAAACAGGCCAGGGGGGAAGAGCAGGGACGCCCTGCATCTGCCTTACGCCGGTGCAGCGGGGGCTCATCAGTTTTCCTTTCTCCATCAGATTGCCATCGTGGGAGAACAACCAGGCATACAGAGCACAGAGCGAGCAGCACAGGCGCTGCGACGCCAGTGACTGCCTCTGTCCAGGAGGCCGGGAGCAGGCAGAGGAAGAGGGGTAAGTTGCCAAAGCTGCACCCCGGGGCTCTGCACGGGATCTCTGTCTCGCCAAGGGCTCAAAGCGGAAGGACTGAGAATGCGAGCTCTGCCCGACAATCCCGTGCTGCGGCCACTTTGTCCTCACAGCCATGCACCCGTTTGCTTCCCCAGGCCCTGGCAACTTCTCCTGTGCAGCTCCTGTGCTGCCGAAGGCACCCACAAACGCTGCTCCTTCTTGAAGCACAGCACAACTATCTGGGAGTGCGACAGCTGTGCTGGCCGGGGCACCGGTAAGAGGCAAAGCCCCCAGTGCCCCTGGGCTGGGGCCGGGAGCCAGGCAAGGCCTGGCAGCGCGTGCCCAGGGTGGGCT